AAGCTAGCAGAAGAGATCTCTGAGGAAAATAATCAAGGACTGGTGCTGTAGGCTGCAGGCAGTTACCTGGCTTTACCACTTACTACTGCTTCCTCCTTGACATTAAGATGAAGGCTTTCATCCTCCTGATCTTAAAAAGCACATTCCCCTCCTCAACTTCCATAAATCTGCAAAACTTGAAAAGAGCCCCAGTGTCATCAAGTAAAAGAGACGGCTTTAGGAATCTCACTGGAAGGAGGGGTGTCTTCAAGCCTCTCACTGCTAAGCCGGACATTTCCTAACACTGGACAAATTGTACGTCCAGCTCAGGGAGGGTGAACTGCAGTGGTCTTTTACCCTCCAAGCCAATTGTTAGCTTTTCACAGGAATCAGCAGGGAAGCACATGTGAAACCTCTGTGTGACGGTGAGCACCCCCATGCCTTGTGTGACTCTGCATGTAGATGAAGCAGGCTGGGAGCTTTCTTAGCTGCTGCTGCTGAGTTCTCAGAGAAGCCCTTTTCTCCGGCTTGGCTCCCTGCTGGGACAGCCCTTTTCAATTTTTCTATCCCCCCTCGATCTCTTCTCCTGCAGAACACAGGGAAACTTGATTGAAATAAAGACCTAGGGAACATGTTTTATTTTCTCCTGTTCAATCCATTTTAGAAAAGCTTTTAATTGGTTTTAAAAAGATGCTAAACAAAATGTGATGATGTTTTTCAGTCTTCGTGCACTACAGATACCACTTTTTATACTTGCAAAGGGCTAATAAATCAATCATGAAATTAACTCTCTAGCTAAATTTAAAGCAAATCCACTGAATACCAGGTTCATTAAAAATCTATGCATTTACTTAGAAAAATTTAAAATTCAAAGAAAATTATCCTAGGAACTGAAATCTGACTTGAATTTTTAGTTCTACACTGAAAATCCAAGACCAAGGCAATCACAAAGGGAAAAAGGAGGGCTTGTGAACCAGTTTTAATAAGCCAATTTACAGAAGGGGAGGGGGTGGTGGGGGAGGGGTGGCAGTAGAAAAGAGAATATCTAGATACATAACAACATTGTGCCTCGAAGGGATTCTTTTATTTGAACATGTGCACACATGCACACACAATTTTTCGGTGTGAAAGCTAGAATTACAGCAAATGCAAAATTAAGGATTCTGTGACTGATATGATTATATATTGTATACATGTACAGTTCTTCCTTTTAAAGAAAAATGCCTACAACTTTTCTGTTTTCTTACCAGTAATAAATAATAATTTCTACCATGCTATGCATTTCTACAACATTCAGATGCATATACTTTCAGTATTTCATTGAGAACATCTGAAAAACCTACATGCTAATGGTTTGGTGAAGTGAATGCTTCCACTTTAGAATGACAACTATTCCTGACACTGGGCCAACCTGAAAATTTCCCCTTATTTTCTTAAGAGAATGCAAACTAATTTTAAAAAGCAAGGTGGTACAGATAAAGCATATTTTTATTTTGTTAAATATATGCCAACTAGAAATATTAAAAATATTAATTTCTCCTGCCACCGATTCACTTATATAGCAGGTCATCTAGCAGTCCAGGTCAGAATCACCAAATTCTGATTAATGATAGGCTGGTAGTCCCTTAAAAGAGACTCCCTGCCATTTCCAATCACTAAGGCAACCAGATCTCTTACTTCTTACATATTTCTATATTCTTCCTCTTCCGTCTTTAGAGAAATTCCTCCCACATCCTTTTTAATGATCCAATTCCTGTTGCCAAGATTTCTCCCAGCCTGGGCCATGTACCTTGGATGTTCACCCCTTACTTCTAACTCCCTATATAATTCTCCTTTTATCATTTAAGTAGCTTCTGAAACCATTTTTTAAAAATGTCACAGTTTTACAGTGCCATGAATGAATTGTACACCATTAAATGTGCACAATTTATTCATTTTTAGTATATTCACAGATTTGTGTAACTATCACCAAAATCAATTTTAGAACATTTTCATCACCCCAAAAAAGAAATGCTATGCCCATTAGTATCACCTCCCGTTCTTTCCATCTACCCCTCCCAGGCTTACGCAACCACCAATCTAATTTCTGTCTATAGATTTTGCCAATTCTGGACAATTCATATAAATGGAATCATATAATATGTGGTCTTTTGTGACTATATTCTTTCACTTAGCATGTTTTCAAGGTTCATCCATGCCGGTGCATATATCAGTGCTGCATTTTACTGCTGAATAATATTTCATTATATTGATATAATGAACATTTGCATTGTTTCTACTTGGTTATTATGAATAATGCTGCTATGAACATTCATGTACAAGCTTTTATGTGGACATGTTTTCATTTCCTTTGAGTATATCTAAGAGTGGAATTGCTAGGTCATATGGTTACTCAATGTTTAATCTTCTTTTTTTTTTTTTGAAACAGAGTCTCACTTCGTTGCCCAGGCTAGAGTGAGTGCCGTGGCATCAGCCTAGCTCACAGCAACCTCAAACTCCTGGGCTCAAGCGATCCTCCTACCTCAGCCTCCCGAGTGGCTGGGACTACAGGCATGCACCACCATGCCTGGCTAATTTTGTATTTTGTACATATATTTTTAGTTGGCCAATTAATTTCTTTCTATTTATAGTAGAGACAGGGTCTCGCTCTTGCTCAGGCTGGTCTTGAACTCCTGACCTCGAGGAATCCACCCGCCTCAGCCTCCCAGAGTGCTAGGATTACAGGCGTGAGCCACTGCGCCCAGCCCTCAATGTTTAATCTTTTGAGGAACGTGCTAGACTGTTTTCCAAAGGCTGCACAATTTTTACATTCTCACAAACAGTACACATAGATTCCAATTTCTCCACATCCTCACCAACACTTGTTATTATCTGACTTTTTGATTATAACCATCCTAGTGGGTGTGAAATGGTGCCTCACTGTACTGGTTTTGATTTGCAATTCTCTGGCAATTAATGTTGAATATTTTTTCATGTACTTATGGCCATTTGAACTTTATTTTTTAATGTTTTTACTCTAATCATATCCTGTCTAAATATGAACTTTAGCAATTCTAAAATACTTAAGTCCACTAAAATGAGAAGACACTTAAAAATTATTGACTAAGCTATTTGTGAAGCAGGTATATATAAACCTCTGTGCCAGAGATGTGAGATTTAAAAGCATAAAATAATGTTTCTTTCCTCAAAAACCTTAAAATCATTTTTATAAAATAGAAACAATTATTATTAAATCTTTTATCAAAATGTTGCAGGTCATTTGTTAATATTTTCTGTTTATTTCTATTGGTATCTATTTTGGATTACAGATAACTCTTAGGGGATGTATCTCTGTTTAAATCAATGTATATAGTATTTAGCATTGAAAAGTTATTCTTCCTTCTCCCAAGTGACTTTTAGCATAAATTCTTTATAGCTAAAAAGCTGAATATTATATAAGTTTAAATGCCTAGAAAAAGTCTCCCACTCTAAATTTTTTTTTTTTTTTTTTTTTTTGAGACAGAGTCTCACTCTCTTGCCCTGGCTAGAGTGCTGTGGAGTCAGCCTAGCTCACAGCAACCTCAAATTCCTGGGCTCAAGTGATCCTGCTGCCTCAACCTCCCAAGTAGCTGGAACTACATGTGTGTACCACCACACCCGGCTAATTTTTTCTATTTTTAGTAGAGACAGGGTCTTACTCTTGCCCAGGCTTGTCTCCAACTCCTCTGACCTCAAGCAAATCCTCCTGCCTCAGCCTCCCAGAGTGCTAGGACTACAGGCGTGAGCCACCACGCCTGGCCACATTCTAATAATTTTAAATATGCTGATTTCCTAAAAAAGATTTTTGTGTTTGCATGAGATATATATATAGATACTGGGGAGAATTCTTTTTGTTTCAGCACCTTTAGATATATCTGTTTACATATTAATAAAAATATTGAAGAAATCAGACAAGGGATAAATATACTCACTTCTCTAAATTCAACCTTTGTATAATTTAAAACTCCAATTACTGGGAATGATGGCCTATGGAAAGACAATTTTAAAATCCTTCCACAGTGCATATTTGTAGCAAATTTTCAAGGCTGCTGTAGGTTATGCTTCATTTTACTACTCTAGAAGTTATAAAAAACCCCAAAACCCTAGAAAATCAAGAAAAGCCCTTTACTTTTAAGTGTAAACTACACACATAATTTTAGCTGTTAAAAGTTAGATTTACCTTAGCATTAAGTATTTCCCATACAGATTAGTTAATACCTCTAACTTCAAATATGAAATTCCCATACAAACATTAAGGTGTTTTTAAAGTTAGTGCTTAACTCCTTTGTATTTGCCTTTGATTGGCATTTCTTCAAGGTTACAAGACAAAGAATCAATCAAGAGAATTTGGTCTTGTGACATAGCCAAGAATGCTCTGGCAGCCTCTACATAATTAACATATTTAACCAACCTTCATAGGATGGTTTTAAATTTGTTAAGCTATCAAAATCACAAGACTCTAATAGCCACATCAGTAAAAATGCAACCACATGAACCAAGATCTTGAGTATAAATTCACTGCTCAAAACCACTATGTGACACAAGAGAAATAACTTAAGATCATCTATAAAAATTTTTTTAAAAATCTGCCTAAAAGAAGTAAACTTCAATTTCCCCAAATACAAATTTTTAGGAAAACCTATAAAATGATAAATGAAATAAATGGGAACAAATATTTACTCCTTTCTACATTAATATCATAATCTCCCTGAGGAGGTAGAGGAAGGCAGGAATGTGTAACATGGTGGCGAAACGATTAAACAACCAAATCAATACTAATTGAAACTGAGATTTTTATATTTTCAGAAAATAATGCAAAAAATTCTGTTAACAAATTAATTCACCTTAAACAGAAGGCCAGATCAAATGACCTTTCAAAATCCCTTCAACAACATTATTTTTATATGTTTATGATAACCTGCTTAAAGAGAGTATACAAATATATGCAATTTACTGGAAAACTCTTTGTAAAAATATTTCTTCTTTTTCTAATTATTATTTACCTGAGGAGGTGCCTTTTTCAGTAATACAAGGAGAGCCTGTAATACCAGATTAGAAAATCGAGGGCCAATAGGAACATAATCTAGAAGAGAAACATTATTATGTTTAGAGATTCAATGTGCACATATCCCAAACATTCAGATATTTCTGCATCAAGAGTGAAAACAGTCCTAAATAAAAGCCATGCAACTATCTATAATAAGAAAAAATATCTCCAATAACCTAATGGGGAAAAAGACCCCCAGGTGTATTTACTAAGCATTTCTAAGAAACTACTGCAAACCATGGCCATTCAGTACTTTGACAACAAAATATGATGCTAGAAAATGAGTGGAGGGGGAAAATGATAAGGAGTTTTAATAAAACTGAAATGAGGGTAAAGCCACTAAGATTGGCCCTCAGCTGGTAAAGAACAGAAAACTTTCTAAGGACATTTTCTACCTGTTAGATTTCTACCAATACTTCTAGATTCAACATAAATGTCACCTTCTTAGCTTTCTCTGCATATTGCACATGCACCCTTGCCCTGTGCTTAGAGCTACCTGTGGGTATCAGCCCCCTGAAGTCAAAATGTGACGCCTCCATTTTCTGAATATCCAGATGTTCAGAATAGCACATTCTACTTTGCATGAATTTTTGTCAATGTATGTTATAATAGACAGGCAGCATCTTATTTTTCTGAGACCCTAATAATTCCAGCACAGTAGTAAGGGCTCAGCAAATGCTTACTGAATGAATGAACAAGCAAGTAAAGATAATTAACTATTCATATAAGTGAAAATATACTCAGAGGGCACACATTCCTTACATAGTAGTGTTGCTATGACCACACATCTCAATTGTGTTAAGATAAAGGAATTTACACAGAGCTATGAGTATGTGCCCAAAAGCTTTTAAAGAAATAATCCTATAAACTGGGCTGAAATGTATAAAACATAGCAGACCAAAAACCCAAGTCACTAGATAAAACTATCAATTTAAGGAGACCTCACAGATATCCCTTCTTTGCTTTATAACAAACATTGCCAAAAACCTTAGAAAATAAGTAACAGAGAGCCTAAAGCAAGTCTGAAAATAATGGGGAAAATGTAGTAAGAACAGTTAACTTGAAATTATTACGATACCATATAGATAGCTTAAGGAAGAAGGGATTAATCAGGTACTGGGTAGTATTTTCAGATGTTTATTAAGTCACCAGGTGGGTTTCTATTTCAAAAGAGTTAAGTACCCCATCCTGAGCCATTGTTATAATGAATTTATGCCAGATTGATTTAATTTTACAATGAAATAAAATTAAGAGTAACAACAACTTTCTGGCATTTACTTGGAGTTTACTTCTTATGAATAGAGTGTAAGGACTAAGTTGTATTCATGTTTGTATCCTGCAAGAGTGTACTTTATCATAGGAGATTAATAAATATTTTAAAAAATTACTACAAAGCACTTTGAACTTTCAATGTTTTCAACATTTATTATCCCATTTTTGTCTTCACAATTACTCTGTGGGATAAGCAAGGAAGGGATTACAGTCTCTGTTTTGAGAGAACAGAAATTGAGGTACAGAGAGCTTACAACTTCTGTTCCAAGTGTTTTGGTGAATTTATGGATCTCACTCTGATCCTAAACCCTTCTTTTATTAGTTCTGTCAAAGTTCACAAGTGGACCTCTGAGCTATAGGCAGCTCAGAGGTACTAAACTGTAAAAACATCTGTCAATGAAACTTATTAATCATTTATTATGACAAATACTGGAAGATACAAAATAAGACATGGGCCTTTATAACTGAGTTACAGTAACGGGGTATATTAACATAAATACTATCATTGAGGTCAGATATGACAGTTAATGTTATATTTCTTTGTAAGATAAAGAAAGGTATTTCTATTGCTTTATAGTTTATAAACACTAGTTAATTTTCTCTTGTAATTTTTGAGACATTAGCCTTAATGTGGGAAAGACAGTACAATGTCAGAAGTAAGGACTTACCAAGTAATCTCTCAATGTCGTCCACAACCACACAACTGAGCTGGGATTTGTACGCATCATCAAAGATCTGGAAGGAAGCAAAGCCATTTATTATCGCTGCCTTTCATAATCATGAAAGGGGGAAACAAAGTGTTCTAAGCAGAATGTACTGAATATTAGGAGGGACAGAGATGAAAACATTAAGGAATAATGAAGATATGTTGGTGTTGACATAGGGGGAGTGGTGGGTGAGATGAAGTAGAAGAGGTGATGAAGAAACCTGGATGTGGAGGGTCTCACAAATTTCATGAGTTGAAATTTTATTATAAAGGCAATAAAAAGCCACTAAAGGGTTTTAAGCAATAGACTGACATGTCAGGTTTATGTTTTAGAAAGATTTTTCTGGTTGATGTATCAAAAAGCATTAGAGGAGAGTAATAGTTGCTTAAGATTGTGGAATTCCATGTTAGAAATGATGGTGGCCTAAGAGTAGGGGTGCTGAGAAGGCTGAGAAGTAGACAGATTCTAAAGATATTTAAGAGGTAGAACTGAAAAGACTTGGTGAATGAATGGGTATGGTGATGAGGGAGAAACTGGAGTTAAGGATCCTTCCTGGTTTGGAAACTGAAATAAAAAAGAGAGTAGAAGCTGGTTTGAAAATGGATCATGAGTGCATTTAAGGAGCAGGAAGAGAAGAGACTTTTATCGCCTCTCCACAAAAAAAAAAAGAAGAGAAAATGAGAATAAGATATTTATTTCAGCCTCTTGATACATACCGTGTTTCCCCGAAAATAAGACCTACCCATAAAATAAGCCCTAGTAGGATTTCTAAGCATTTGCACAATATAAGCCTCCTACCCCGAAAATAAGACTTAGTGATGGGCACAGCTATGCAGCGGATTTGCACAACCTATGCATTTTGTTGCAGAGTGGTAAAGAAGATGAGCAGCCCTTCTCATCTGCCCCATTGTGTCAGCCAGAGGTGTTCGGAAAGGTGTGGGCAGCCCTACCAACAAGGTCGGCTCCCCTTGTCAGGTCCCGGCCATCCTGTGCGTGCTGCAAGCTGAGGCTTTGAGGGGAAAATAACACATCCCCTGAAAATAAGCTCTAGGGCAGGCATCCTCAAACTACGGCTTGAGCCTAGCACATTTATCTGGCCCTCTGGGTGTTTTTGCTGCCACTGCCCATCCTGCTTAGCAGCCGACTTGTCCCGGGCCCACAGCGCGCACTCTCCAACAGTCTGAAGGACAGTGAACAGGCCTCCTGTTTAAAAAGTTTGAGGACCCCTGCTCTAGGGTGTCTTCTTGAGGAAAAATAAATATAAGACCCTGTCTTATTTTCAGGGAAACACGGTAATGAGGGTTCCTTTTGGCTTTGAGTTGGTGCATTCAAGACAATTGAAATGTTTGGATGAAGTTCCGCAGTGGTTCTCTGTTATTTTCTCAAAGACTGGACCAACACAGGAGCCAATGTAATATCTCATAACTCAGGAGATTCAGATTCATTTTGCTTTTCAAAACATTTTTCAGAATTCTATTAAAATCTCTGATGCAAACATATAATTCTGACCATCAGGCTGTGAGATGGCAGGTTAGAGCCACAAGGGCCTGGGATACCACTGACGGGCTAGTTGCAATAGTTCCCCATTTTTCGTAAATCAGACCTTCTCGCCTCTCAAAACAAAGTACACCTTATGTGATTACAGGGACCTTACTCAGGACATTGCTGGGGTCTAAATGGATGATAAATTGCTATGTAGTACATAGTTTCACCAGCTTATCTCAGATTCTGTAATTCACAAAGCACTTCACAGTTGACTTCATGGGCTACCTATAACATTTTAGAAAAAAAATACCTACAGCAGTCATTTAATGTAAAGTAGTGGGTTTTGTTTTTGTTTTGTTTTTTACAGACAACTTTCAGTGTACTAATTACTATCAGAGGGAGAGGAGAACTCACAGCGAACCCTCTTAACAACATACTAACCATGACAAAGGCTGTACAATTCCAGTTGTAACTTGACTAGTTTCAATTGACCAGTCAACTGAAACTGCTTTGGGTAGCTACTCTGCTCTAATTTAAATATACATACACACACCCCTCTCACTTATACATACGTTCTCTTCCTTATCTAGTCTCAAGTGTAATCTGAGGTCAGCACTCTTATCCTGAACCCATGATTTCTGCCTAGTCTCTTCAGCCCCTTTCACTCTCGGCATCCTGGTCTAGGCCCCAGTAAAACACTAAGAAGATTTGATTGGCAAGTACATGGGATTAGCTGCCAAACTAAAATCTAAGTGATATATTTACATACTGAGCCAGGAAGCTTACCACAACTTTAGGTAGATAAACCCAAAACAGAGGAGAAGTACTAGAAAGAAAGATACAGGAAAAGTAAAAGTGTACAAACAGCCCCAGTTAGAACAGGAAAAACTCACCATCAGTAACAGCACACAGATACACAGTGCCTGCTCCAGATCAAATGATGCCTCAACACAGGCAGCCAGGAGGGCTGAAGCTGGAGGAAAGGGCTATGTCTTACAGATTCTTTAAAAACAATAGTCTAAAGAATATAAGGTCATCACAGTTTTATCAGGGAGTTTCCTGTAGAGCAGGTAAGATTATTAGACAATATATTAGTGTCCTAAAGTCAGATGGGAAGTCTGCAAGAAAAGGCCAAAGAAAACAAAATGGGCAGAGTTGAAGAAGGAAACAATATGGGAAAGAGTGGCACGAACAGCATGAGTTTTATGAAATAATGAACAGTCTCTCACAAAGGATGAGAAACATCTCTAGAAAACAGAGTCCCATAGTCTATTTCTAGCTGTGCATACGAGATTGTAACCATTAAACTCTCTGGTATCATTTCTCTCGCATGCAAAGATAGACAGTATGACACAAGCTTGAGGGTCGTGAGAGATAATCCAGAACGTGGGGAGTCTGGGCTCAAGGTGACAATATGCTGGATGTACTCTTGAGCACCAAGGGAGAAGCAGGCTCCTGTCACATAGGGATTAGGGGCAGGCCTTAAAGTGCTCATCAAGCTCTTAAGACACAGAGCCCACTTCTGGAACCTTCAGCCAAGCTGGGAGCCACCTGTATGCAGGGAGGGGCAGCAGATGCGCTCTGGAGTCTACATGAATACAAATGGGAACACGCCAGCATTAGCTCCATTAATCCCAGCCTTTCAGAATCACAAGCCACAGCAAAGCACGCTCTAAGGAGATTCTGGCCTCCATCCTCTGTGACCTCCTTAGTGCTCTTAGGTAAGGGAAGCCAATTTTTTTGGTTCTTTTGGAGACTGAAAGAGTTCATCTCAATTCTGAAGTGGTTGGTTGAAGTACCTAGTTAGGAGAAATCTGATGACTATAGGAATCTGATGGCATAGAAAATCTCTAATGTAATAAATCTGTCAGCGATTAGCTGAAAGCATACTCTAATCATATTTGGTAGCATATAAAAACGTAAATGAGCAAATTCAAATTGGTACTATCTGTAATAATCTCTAGTTTCTAAAAATAACCTGGGAGTAGACCAAGCAGACATTAGCTGTCTTCTAATGAAACTGCCTCAGGAAGTGGACCTAAACTTTTGGCAAAGCACTAAAGCTTCCTGGAGTGACCTTAAAATCTTTTATTTGTTCTTTCTGCTTTTCAGGAAAATATCTTACATTTTCATATAACATGAGCCTCAGACTGGGGTATTTTTAATAATTAAAAAGTCACAAGGTCTGAAAGTTCTGCACCACCTCCTTTGTATGCCACACAGATACCAGTGCCAAAAGACATAGTGTATTAAACAAAACAACAACAAACGCCTACCCCCCTAGCCAGCCACACAGGGACCTGTAGTCACTTCCGGAGTGTGTTCTTCTCTCAGCTAACACATGCACAAACTTCAACAAATCAGCTACATGATATATTAGGATGTTAACCAAAAACATCCAAATTCTGTTGCTTAGTAACTACTGTCAAAAGATCTAATTTCCAGCTCTGCTCTTTGTATAGACTAAACCATGAAAAGAGGAGGATTAGGCACCACGATTCTGTTCTGTGCAGACTACAATTTGCAGTGGGATTTACAGGAGGATTTTCAAAGAAGATTATTTCTTTCTTGCAAAGCTAGTGGAAAAGAAAATTTCTTCCATTAATTTTCAATCCTTTGAAAATAAGATGATATCATGTTATTAGTGGGTATAGTTTTATAAATCACTGATATCTGTACTTAATTTTATTCAAACAATTTCATCATATTTTAGTCATATCCAATTGTTCTATTTCATTTCTGTACTGATTGTGTACTTGGAAAGTATCAAGGTTAGGTAATTACTTGAAATCAAATTCTACTGGTTTGTTCTTTTGTTCATTTAATGCCACTAATAGAACTGTAAAATAGATTTTTTTTTAAGTATAGATGCACAAATGATGAAGGAGTTAAAATTGAAAATCAGAATGAAGTTTGGGAAGCAAACATAAAGTGGGAGAGAAGAGGAAGATCTGTGAATACTTCAAACACTCCAATGGAACATATGGTACCTCCCCCCAGAATGTGAGGACAATACCTCGTACATACTTAGGTGGTGTTGAGAAGTTTATCTACGGGGAAAGGACTTATTAAGCAAATTAAAAGAAGTACAAAGTGAACTTTAAGTTAATTGAGAATGAACTACTTTCATGTATTTTAGCACCATCCACTTGCAAAAAAGATAGCATAATTATAATAAAATCTTATATGCGCCTCAAAGCATGCCTAATAGCATTCTCTACTAACAAAAACTCTTTATTTGTTTAAGTAATAAAATAGTTTATAAGGATGCTCTATGAATTAACCAATTCAGACCACCTATCTTTAACAAAAATTAATGTACTACAAAATTTCTGAGCTTCACAAACTATTTTGAACAATCTTTAAAATTGAGCATTTAGTCATTAAAATGTAGCTAAAGAAATGATTGAATGCCAACATTTTGCTTATCAAATTAACAAAAAATATTTTAATAACATCAAATGTGGGTGAGAATTCCAGGAAACTTATACTCTCAAACAATGGGGCTACAAGTGTAAACTAGCACAACTTTGTGAAGGGGTGGGCTTTATAAGTCATTAGTATTTTTATATAAGAGTTTTGATAGCAATATACATGAAAAATCTTTAAAATGTTAATATTTTTTATCTTAGCAATTCCAATTCTGAGAATTTGTACTAAGGAAATAATCAGAAATGTATGTACAATAATAATAAGTAAAAATAACCACGACACTTTATTGAGTACATATTATGTCCCAGGCACTACGTGATACTTTACATAAATCACCATGTCATTTAATTCTCATAATAACACTATGAGGCAGCTATTAACATTATCTTTATTTTACAGATGAGAAAATAGTGGCTTATAGTTTAAGTGACTTATTATCCAAGGTCACAGAGCTGGTTAAGTGTGGTGGAGATGAGATGCAAATTCAGATCTGTTTGAATCCTATGCCAAGTTTCTCAGTCATATGATGCTACTATATCTAATAAAAATCTAATAAGAAAATGAGGGGTAGGAATTTCGCTAGTTTGGTAGCTCTATAGAATATTATTTATGACTGTGAAAAAAACTGGAAACAACCTAAATGTCCAACAAAAAGGGACTGTTTAAATGGATGTTATGCAGCTATTAATTTAACATAATATTGGGATAAGTTTTAGTGACACTGAAAATAGTTCATAATATTTTAAGTGAAAAAAGCAGGTTTAAAACACTGTGTTCAATGTTCTCCTTGATATATCAGGGGTATGTGTGTGTCTGAATAGTAAAGAGAATTGAAGGACAAGTACTAAATATCAATTTATTTTTATTTTCTTCTATGTTCTTTTCTATATTTTCTAAATTATGTTTATAATTAGAAAAAGCTACATATTTTGGGGGGTGGAGAAACTACAAGAAAATGAATATCATCCAGGATGATAAAACATTATAAATTATTTGTGCTCTGAAAAAAAATTAAAACATTTTCTTTCCATCCTCACACTAAAAATGAAGAAGTGGGAGGCAGACTAGAACTTATACTAAAGAATGGCATTTATATTTCATTTCCAAAAACAACCTGAAAGATTTAGCATCTTTAGACTGGTTTGAGCCCTCAGGCTTTTGTCAACCTATCATTAAGTAACAATGCGAAAACTATTTGCAGGGAAAGATTTTGTAATATTTCTAATATATTTTTAAGACATTCATTTTTTTTCTCTTTTCTGAACTTTAGTTACAGTGAATAATATTTTTCCCCCAAGGAAAAGCAAAAAGTCTAATATGAATTTATTATACTGCAGAAGCAGAAATAATTTTTGTAACTTTAAGAGTACATGGATGATCTAGACAGTGAATCATGAATCTAAACAATTTTGAATAAGCTTGTATAGGCACTTATTTTTATATTCCTTAGCCTTCTACTCATCTAAAAGTCTACCTTGAAAGGCTTCAACAATTTAAAGATTAAATCATAAGTTATTAAGCCATTAATTTAACCATTTAAGCCTCTAAAATCAGCACATATTACCTTCCCCCCTCAAGTCAATTTGCAAGAGATTAAAATAATAAAAATGATAATATCTCACATTTACAAAGCAGCTTTGATCTGCAGAAGCCTAGAAGCCTAAAGTACTTTTTAAAAACTTTATAGAAAAAGTAGGACCATCCACCCACATCTCAGAGTACATCTGAGGTAGAAGCTAGCAGCTGGTGGAGAGCAATGGAGTAATTTACCCTCTGTAAAGAAGACAGATGGTAAGTAAAGGGATGAACAAGTAAAGGGATAGATAAACAAGTAAAGGAAAGGGATAGATGACTGAGGGAAATGCAAACAGAATTAGCTATTTAATAAATAAGTGGGACATTCAATGGCTAGAGATTCCAAGGGCTATTATTTAAATTTTCGTCAGAAGAAGTGGCTTAAGGTTTCCCTTTAGAGGGAAAACAAAAAACAAAACAAAAAAATAGCCCCTACCTACTCTAGGAAAATTACTGGCCCGAGTTATTCCATCCAGATTTTCCTCTGAAGGACAGATACTACTGGTTTCACCTCAGACTAAATGGACTATGATATTCTAAGAATAAAAGGACTATGATATTCTAAGTTCTTTTTGTGTCAAATAACATTTCCCTCTCTTTCACACTCGATTATCTTGATGTTTCCCTGTGTATGGCTGGAACACTGCTACAAGTCCTGCTTCCTTCATTTCAAGCACCCTACAAAAACAATTCTCTGCTACCTGCACAAACAACTTACACTAACTTCTCAAACTTAACATTTCTTGGGAGTCATCTTCTTTTTAAATATATTTTTCCTCTCTAGTCTCTTTCCTAAAGAAAAATTGAAATAATTCTATGCTACATGAGCTGAGCATGAGCTACATGAGCTGAGCATGTATCTTTATAGAGTGAGCGCCTAGGAGCAACATAAAAGAACAACCTGAGCTGTCTTATTGAAGGTGGCACTTCAATTCTCAAGATTCTTTTCCCTAATTCTGATTTTCTCATAATTCTTGGTCAGTTCATATCTATAAAAGATCAAGCATGAAAAAAAGTAATGTAAGTAAAAGAACTACTTTAGCTGGATGGAAGAAAAAATTTCCTGTCTGAGGAATTTGAGTATGCAAAATTAGATTATCACTGGAAACATGGGCTACCAAGTGAGATGAAACAGCTGTTAAGAGTCTTTATCATTGATTTTTGTTGTTGCTGCTTTTTAAAAAGATGCCTTATGTGGCACTTGCTTGAATGTAAGATATGGACAGATGATCTTATAGTCCTTTCAGCCCTAGGATTCTGTTCTTTGTTGTTCTAACTTCACTGATTGTTTAAAGTGGCCATATTAAAAAAGAATCAAATGGCAGCTGGAGAAAGGAAAAGGATCAGGACTAAATTAAGTTGTCAGGTAGACTCTGATTATTACCTAACAAGTATTCTTTTGTAGGGGTTCTTGAGACTATCTTCCCAATGATATATCTACGTTCTTTTTCAAACTCTACAGTCAACATAATTGACCCCAAACAGTCTGACTTTGTACATTAATGAAAGAACTTAAAAAAAAAAATCCTACATGTATTTGTTCTACTCTATCTACTCTTAACTATGATTCTTTCAATCAAGTTGATACAAACTTAGGAAATAGAAATTAATGTTAATATGTATTAAACACAGCATAATTTAGAAGGTAAAGGTATGCAATAAAAATGCATTACAAAGTTTAAAAATCTGCAACAGTTACTCTCTGCCACCCCAGATAGATAATTTAGTTCCACTTGTGAAGAACATAGTTGCTATGGATTTTATATATATACATGTACATACACACACACATCCAAGAGACAGGAAATTAAAATGAAAGTAAAAATCTTGATACCTTCTTCATGGCCTGACATTTGGCTGTCTCAGAAAAGCCAATCATCTTATCAGGAGAACAGATCTTGATGAAGGGGAAGTTGGATTCCTCTGCAATTTTTGCAGCTAAAGCAGTCTTGCCACTATGAGGAGGGCCTGCATAAAGATATGAGCAAGTCAGAGGAAAAAAGCCAACCTAAGCAAAGGGAAATAAAACAAGTTTAAACTTTTATCCACAATGTACTGAGGTCTCAACTAGTTGCTCATTAACATTTCCTGACACAATTTCACAGCAGACATGTTTGCTCTTATTTATTAGCAACTGAACTTAATGGACTGATTAGCATTTCTCAAGAGTATGGTGAAATACTTATCTTCCTACTCTCTCACACAGCCTTAATCTTTCAAACTTCTGGCTAACTATATAAAGGATAAGGGTTTTTTGCTTCTCAAAAAAAAAAAAAAGAAAGAAAACACATTCAAATGCATATCAGTACTTATAAGTTCTATCAAATCATCTAACTAAAAAATGTAATTTTAGAAGATGGTATTGGGGAAAGGTAAAAACTGCCTTATTAGAAGCAAATGTGACTTAAAAAGCTAGAATTCTAAAGACTCCGGCCTTCTCATAAAGCCAAGCAAATCTACAAGCTTACCTGCATTTAGACATACCCTCCCTACCTTTCTGTGTACTGGAAGATTCGTCCCTATTCCAACCATAAACCAACCAAATCCTCCTTCCCATCTTCTCAGGAACCTGACACTATTGATAGTTCCTCTTTCTCTTTATGTTTATCCTCTTCCTCTGTCTTCCCTGAAGCCTTTCCAAAATCATTTAAGCATACTCTGGTCTATCTGAAAATTTAATAAATAAACAAAAACTCTTTTTGGACATCACACCCTTCAACACTACCCCTTCAAAATGGAACTTCCCTAAATACAGTAATTACCTTCCCTGGCTGCCTTTACTATTCTCCCCTGCACCCTCAGCAAACCTCCCCCACTACAATGGTCAGACTCCCATCAAGGTCACCAATGACCTTCATGTCACCAAACCCAACAGACAATATCTTTGTTGGCCTCTTGGGAGCATTTGATACAATTAATAACTTCCCTCTTTCTTAAGTTTCTTTTCTTGGCTTCTGTGACAGCACATTCTCTCCCTCAACCCCTTTCCTCACTGGTTACTCTCGCTCAGTCTCCTTTGTCAATTCATTCTGTTTTACTCAGTTTCTAAATGTTAACACACCTCAGAAATAAATTCTAGGCCTCCTCTTCATCTCAACCCCCACCCTTTCTATAAGTGACTTCATCTACTCCCATGGTTTCAATGGCAGTCTATACACAGACAACTCCTTTTCTTTTTTTTTTTTTGAGACAGAGTCTCACTGTGTCACCTGGGCTAGAGTGCTATGGCGTCAGCCTAGTTCACAGCAACCTCAAACTCCTGGGCTCAAGCAATCCAACTGCCTCAGCCTCCTGAGTAGCTGGGACTACAGGCGCGTTCCACCATGCTCAGCTAATTTTTTTTCTATTTTTAGTTGTTTGGCTAATTTCTTTCTATTTATAGTAGAGATAGGGTCTCGCTCTTGCTCAGGCTGGTCTTGAACTCCTGAGCTCAAGCAATCATCCCGCCTCAGCCTCCCAGAGTGCCAGAGATAACTCTTGAATCTACTGCCAAGCAGACCTCTCTGCTGAGTGTCAGACCAGCATATCCAACAGGCCACTCAACATTTCCAATTTAATTATCCTATATGAACCTAGACTTTAACGTGTTCAAAACAGAATTCATGATCTTTCCTCTAGAAATCTGCTTCTCTGCTAATGTTCCCAATCTTAGTAAATAAACAGCACCATTTACCAAGTCATGTATGTCAGAAACCTGGGGGTCATGTTTGATACCTCTGCCCATATTTAATCTACCCAATATTTCTAAGCTTCGGCTTCCTCATCTACAAAATAGGGCTAACAACAGCATCTACCCTCACAGGAGTGAAGTGAGGTTTAAATGCGATAACATGTATAAAAGTGCTAGCAGAGTAACTGGGAGACAGTAAGGGCTCAAAGAATTTTAGCTTAAGTATGAATGATGATAATCATGAAGCCTTTTTTATTCTGCCTCCTAAATATTTCTCAAATTATTCTACTTTTCTCCATCTCCACTACCACCACATTACTTCAAACCACAATAAGTTCTCATTAGGACTGATGCAACTGCTTCTAACCATTAGTCTCTACTGTATCTTTTTGCCCACCAATCTATTCTTCATCATAAAGCAGACATTATGATGTCTTTTTTTTTTTTTTGAGACAGAGTCTTGCTCTGTTGCCCAGGGTAGAGTGCTGCGGCATCAGCCCAGCTCACAGCAACCTCAAACTCCTGGGCTCACGCTATCCTCCTGCCTCAGCCTCCCGAGTAGCTGGGACTACAGGCATGCGCCACCATGCCCAGCTAATTTTTTCTATATATTTTTAGTTGTCCAATTAATTTCTTTCTATTTTTAGTAGACATGGGGTCTCGCTCTTGTTCAGGCTGGTTTCAAACTCCTGACCTTGAGCGATCCGCCCGCCTCGGCCTCCCAGAGTGCTAGGATTATAGGCATGAGCCACCGCGCCTGGCCATGATGATGCTTTGAAAACAGAAATCTGATCATGTGACTTCACTGCTTAAAACCCTACAAATGGTTTCCCACTGCTCCTAAGATACAGTCTAAATCTTTTAACACAGCCTACAAGGTTTCGTGTGAACTGGCTGCTGTTTACTTCTTCAGTTTCACATCTAGCCAATCTCATCTTTCTGTTTCAAGCTCCTTCCTGCCCCAAACTTTTTCACATGCTGGTCCCTCTGCCTAGAACATCTTCCCCCATTACTTTGTTTGGCCTGTTTCTCCTCATCCTTCAGGTCCCCGTTTAATGTGTTCATCTCAGAGAGCTGTCAATCCTCGACCTTTGGAAGGGGTTAGGTTCCCTTATCATCTGGTCTCATGAAACTTTTCTGTTGTCATACTAATCATAACTGTAAATTAATGATCTGTGAATGGAATGTCCTTCCCTTTTTGTCTACTTGATAAAATCCTAACTCATCCTTTGATGCCTAAATTAAACATCATCTCTAGCTTTCCCTGACCACCCTTATGCAAAATAACTTGCATTCACTTATACCTTTACACATAAACACTGTAGTAGGAATTTATTTATAAGTCTTTTTTCATGACCAGACTGAACACTTGAATGTCTTTGTATCCCCAGCAACTAGTTCATGACTAAAATATAGCAAGTACTCAGTAAATATTTATTTAATTGAATCAAGTGCTATGTGGTATCATGCAATCTATTAAGTACCACATACATTTAGATATAATCGTATAAGAAAACGAGTTGCTATCATTCACCAGTAACATTCCACCCTAATAAAATTTTAATTTGTACACAATGTTGGTACACTGACTGAAATACTATTTTCAGATCATGAACAAGTTTAAGAACTGAAAACAATTCACTTTTCTGGAATGTGCTAAATGGCTTTTAAAAAATGTTGCTTTTTTTTTTTTTTTACTTTAATGTCATCTCATCATACATTCTCACCTTCTAAAAGGACGCTGACCAATGGTGTGCGGTCACTGTTTTTTGTCTGCTGAACCAGCAGCTCTCCATCATCCAGAACTCGGGTAACTGGGTCACCCCATTTGATGATACCATTCATAATGTAACTTGCATAATCTTCTTGGTTTGTGCCAAATGCCTATTGAGGAAAAGGATAGTTTAAAGCATTTTGAACATTAGTATTAAAAACTAAGATATTAAAAAGTATAAAAGATGAATAATAGTTTCTACATACTAAAAGTATTGAGCACAACTCTGTATTCATGTAAAAAGCTTAGAAAGCAAAAAAAACTATTTTATAATTTCTCTTTTAACTTTTTACCCAACAGGAAGAAAGAAAGCTGATTTGGGTGACTTAATGGAATAAAAGCCATAGATCCTAGGCTGAGATTTGACCAAAGCCCAAACCCTCACAATTCCTGGCAAAAAGAGTATGTTCCAATGTGCTTGCTTCTACAAAGTGTATGCAGTTTGTGGCCTTTCTGTTAAGAATGAAAAAAAAAAAGAGAGATTATGGACTTATTATAGAAATTAGAAACAGCTCAGCAGACAAATACACTTTCCTAACACTGACTATAGGTGCTATGGATTAAAATGGGACATCAACTCTGTGGTACGGGATGTTAAGTTAAATGGCAGTAAGGGTGAGTTTATATGTGTAAATATAAGATTTAGAATGAGACAGATATGAGCAGCTGTAATGAAAGATTGAAGGATTAGAAAAGGAAATAAAAGCAATTACAATAATTTTGTGTTCACTACATAATAGGGCTTAAATCACTTTTTTTTCATTTTCAATTTCTAATGTCAAAGATTATAACTCCCATCAAAATAGTTGTCAAAAACAGGCAATAACTTTTAGTAATTATGATTGAATTGGATTTTCACAAGGCTAACAGGAGAATAAATAAGTAGGAAAACATAACCCAATGTACATATAAAGGTCATGTATCCTGAGAATTTTAACCTTTTAAAGATTATCACATCTCTGAAAAAGTCAATTTGTTATTACCTGATATATGAAATAATTTTAACAGTTCATTAGAACTTACACCTCACAGAAAGTCAATTTTGTAATAATGCCTCTCAAATAGTATCCAGTGGTCTCATGTCCTATTACTTTGCCACAAAAACATTTTCAGGCTGGGCGCGGTGGCTCATGCCTGTAATCCTAGCTCTCTGGGAGGCCGAGGCGGGCTCCTGGGGGACCGAGCGGGCGATTGCTAGAGGTCGGAGTTCAAAACACCTGCGCCGAGCAGACCGACCCGTCTCTACTATAAAACGAAGAAATTAATTGGCCAACGCTATAGTATAAAATAATTCAGCCGCGCATGTGCCATGCCTGTAGTCCCAGTACTCGGCGCGCTTGCCAGCACCAAGGATCCTCGCCCAGGAGTTTGAGGTTGCTGTGAGTGCTAGGCCTGATGCCACGGCACTCACTCTAGCCTGGAACACAAAGGCGAGACTCTGTCTCAAAAAAAAAAAAAAAAAAAAAACACATTTTCAACACTCTTTGGGTAGTGTCCCTTGCCATATATCTATCCTTTGATTCCTGATACAGAGGAAAGTCTTCATTCTTTCGGCCTGATAACGGCAAATTCAGTGGGCACCTGTAAAACGTTTTCCAAGGAAGAACTCTAACCCAATAGTGTTGAGGGCTTATTGCTAGAAAATTTATACGTTTGCTGCTTTTGTTATATGTCAAGATATATAACTCCACATCTCATGGCAGAATATTTAAGATGTTTTTGGAACCATAATCGTATAATGGTGACTCTGTATGTCTTCCGCTTATACACCCACATTTCATTCTTTGTTTTATCGTCCAGTACCACTGGAATAAATAAAAGTAAATTTTTTTAGGTTCTTGCTTCCTCATAGCCAATTATTTGCCTAAAAAAATCTTAGAAATTGCTCCAGTAACTTTTTGAAAGTAATTAATTTTATATTTAAAAGTCACAATATTAAAAACAAGGCTTAAAGCATTGGACTTTTCTCTTCAAAGGAGATACTTGCAACAAATAAATATTCAAGAATATAACAGCCAATAAACAGTATGTTTCAGCACACTAATCATTAGGAAAAGAAACAAAACTACAATTAAGATTTCATCTTATACCTATTAGGAATGACCACTAAAAAAAAAGAAAAAGAAAATATGTAAAGTTTGGCCGAGGATGTGGAGAAAATCAGAACCCTTATGCACCTGTTGGTGGAATGTATAAAGGTCACAGCCACCTGTGGACAATCGGTATGATGGCTCTCCTCTACATATAAATTTTTTTTTAAAAAATAGAATTACCATATAATTAAAGCCAATTCCACTTCGGTAATACACCAAAAAGAACTGAAACAATATCTTTTTTTTTTTGGAGACAGTCCTCCACGTCTCATTGCCCTGGGTAGCGGTTGGAGGGCGTGGTTATCATCATAGTTCACCTACAACCTTCTAAACGCTCCGGGCTCAAGAGATCCTGCTTGCCCTCAGCCTCCCACTAGAAACGATGGGACTATACTGCGTCGTGCCGCCATGACGCTGGCTGATTTTTCTATTTTTTAGTAGAAGACGGGGTCTTGCCTCTTGCTCCAGTCTGGTCTCCAAACTACCTGAGCTCAACGGAAATCTCCTACCTCTGGCCTCCCACGAGTGGTAGGATTACAGTCATGAGCTACCACGCCAGCTGAAAACAAGGTCTTGAAGAGATATTTGTATAGCATGTTTTATAAGCAGATATATTCACATAGGCCTAAAATGTTGGGAGGCAACCAACTGTCCATTAAATGGATTAAATGGATAAGCAATATTTAGTATATATATACACAATGGACTATTTTTAGCCTTCAAATGGAAGAAAATTTTGACATGTGCCACAACATGGATCGAACCATTGAAAACATCAACCTAAATGAAATAAGGCCAGATCACAAAAAGGTTAAATACCCATGTTCCCCCACTTATATGAGGTACTTATTCAAATTCAGCAGACAGACAGAATGGTGGTTCCATGTGATTGTGGGAGAGGGAAAATGGGGAGTTATGTGGAGTTTCAGTTTTAAAATGAAAGTCTGGAGATGGATGGTGGCAATAGTTATTACAACATGAGAATGCATTTAAAATACCAGCTGGAGCTGTATGTACACTTAAAAATGATTATGATGCCGGTGTCGGTGCTCATGCCTAGTAATCCTACCCGCCCTCTGGGAGGCGAGCAGCTGGATGCGTTTAGCTCAGGACGTTCTCAAAACGCAACTGAGCAAGACAGCAAACCCTGTCCTCTACATAATGAAGATAATTGTCCCAACTAATATATATAGAAAAAAAATTAACCCGGCCATGGGTGGCGCATGCCCTGTAGTCCCAGCACATCCGGAGCTGAGGCAGCAGGTTGCTTGGGGTTGGGTGTGTGAGAAGTAGACGGCACTGACAGCCTACCTGCGACAAAAGTGAGACTTCGTCTCAAAAAAAAACCAATATAAAGATTAATGATCTGGCTCGCATACATATATCTTGATTTTAATAGAGAACAGGTCGCACTGATGGCCGCAGACTGGAATCAGTGTGTGATCATAGCTCACCGCAGGCCCTGAACTCCTGGGCCTCAAACGTCCTCTCCACGCTCCCCCACGTCTCCCATCCTAGGACTACAGGCCCATGTGACATGAGCCTACCATAATTTCACTAAAAACAATTCTTTTTTTGTAGAGACAGGGTCTTGCTATGTTGCCCAGGCGTCCTGAACCTCCGCTGCCCCGAGAGAGACCTTGCTAAGTGAACTAAGATCATGGCATGCTAAGCAACGCTACCTAAGGGTAACAAGACAACCGCCGTCTGAAAAAAAAAAGAAGCAACGCAAAAAATAACAACACACCAAATAAGGATCCCATTTTATCCAACCCCTGAAAGGCCACCGGATTAATGCCGAAAATACCAAGTATCTTTGGATAAGGATGTATAGCCCAGAACCCAAATATATCTTTTACCTCTATTGGGGGAGTAAAACCACTGGGAATTAAGTTTGAAATTTCTTTTAACGTTGGACAATACATATACTCAAAATAACCCAGAGCCTCAATCTATCAAATTTCTAAGAGAACTCATCTTTAAGAATGCATTATAATAACGTCTTTTATCCCACAGGCTTTTTTTTTCCAATGCGCATTTCATTTTCTCCTAGCATCGTTCCTAAGGAACAGGACTCATTTTATATAATCACAGAAGGTTGATTTTATTTAACATGCTTTATTTATAGTATTAGATGTTTTAATAAAAAACCATGATAACAATTAAAAATTAGACTCCTTTGTGCTATTGGTAGTGAGCCCAGTTTGCATTAAAAATGTGTGGGTATCCATTAATCACTCATCAGTCGTAGGCACTCCAGTGCTGATAAAGCCTTGACTGCTTCTCCAAGATTCTATGTAGGCCAGGTGACTAAGTAGATATCTGGAGTTGGCATATAGATGTTCAAGCAAAAGCATGATTCAAAATCAAAGATTCAGGTTCTTGGTCTCCTAGAGATAATGTTCCTTAAACCATGGTTCAGTATCAGAATCACCTGTTATACTTATAGAAACAGTAAATCTCTTGGGCCACTCCTAAGTAACCTGTTATAAATTCTTGGAGGCAGTAGGGCTTGGGCATCTAGTTAATATATAAATTGAAGGCTCTAGGTGGTTTCGATGAATGCCAAGGATGAAACATTTTCTTATGTTGTGTGTGATTTGTCTTTTTGTATGTTTTTTCATATTCTTTACTCTCTGCTAAGATCGGTATTATTTTCCTCTTAACGTCATGCTCTTTTTTTGTTTTTTTACAGAAATGGGCGTATGATATAGTTCTTTGGCACATAGTTGTTGTTTATTTACCTTTTATTTATTTAA